GACATAGCTTTGTTTATTATGTATTTAGAAATACCAATATTTAGGCTAAACATTTGGCTGTTTTACATTCCTGGATGCTTAGAAATTATTTTGTTCTATATTTTATTTGAGGCTTGGTAGTGGTCTATTTAAAAGTTCCTTCAGTTTCCTATTCATTTAATCTAAAGATGAGTAAACTTCTCTTTATCTTAGCAGTCATAGGTTAAAAATAATGTTCAGACTTAAAGATGAAAAACATTGTCACTATTTACTTTGAAGGGCAGCTGCAAATATCTATTCAAGAAGATGTCAGGTAACAGATGAATTGGATATGGGAGACAGCCTTGTGTGATCCTGGGAACATCACTGAACTGCTGGTGGGTTCAGTTTCTGCATCTGTAAACTTGGCTAATCCCTACCTTGTAATATCTTGTCTCAGCTGAATGATGAATCAACAAAAAGTCTGATAATAGTAGCTAGTTAGTTAACATTAGTCACTAACTTTTAATTCATGCATATTCTTGAAGTACTCAACACCAAACAACAATATTTACTTTATATCAGGTAAATTCAAGTGACTGAAGACAATCAATTCCATATATTATATGGAGATAAATTTTAATTTTTCTGATTCTTGGTGCATTGTATATAGTAATTGCAGTTAGAACATAAGAACTTTAGAAATTCCTTCTTATTTTAAAATTTAATTTACATTACAACCCAGGGATATAAGCATTGACTGTGTTGTCAGGATCCTGTTTTAGAGGTTAGAAAATGCTACTTTTGTGATCCCTGTTAAATATAAGAGTGGGAATAAGAGAGGGAGATGTACAATTTGGGACATGCTCAATCAAACTTGCCCCAAATGGTAGAGATAGAAACATGCCAGGGGATTCCAATTCAATCCCATCAAGGTGGCATGTACCAATGCCATCTCACTAGTCAAAGTGATCAATTTCAGTTCACAATTGATCACACTGATAGGTCTAAGAGTCAAAGGGATCACACAAAAAAGACTAGTGTCTGCAAATACTAACTGATAGAATAAAAAAGGAGAGAACGATCCAACATGTGAAGCAGGATACATAGCAGACTCATAGAATGGCAGATGTCCTAAACAGCACTCTGGCCTCAGAATCAGCCCTTAAGGCATTTGGATCTGGCTGAAAATTCCATGAGAGTATTTCAGGCATGGAAAGCCAAGACACTGGCAAAAAAAAAAAAAAAAAGAAAGAAAAGAAATGACCTAAATGAAAGATCTGTGAGAGTGAGATCCCAGTGGAAAGAATGGGGCCATCAAAGAAGGAGGTACCTTTCTCTGAAGGGAGGAGAGAACTTCCACTTTAACTATGACCTTGTCTAAATATGATTGGAGTTGGTGAACTCAAAAGGCCTCCATAGCCTTGGCAATTCATGACAAGAGCCTAGGGTGACTACTGACGCCATAAACAAGAGTGTCAATTTGTTAAGTCAACAACAGGAGTCACTGTGCACTTACTCCTCATGTAGGATCTCTGTCCTTAATATGCTGTACATCATGATTTAATGCTATAAGTAGTACTCAAACAGTATTTTTCACTTTGTGTTTCTGTGTGGGTGCAAACTGTTGAAATCTTTACTTAATATATGCTAAATTGATCTTCTGTATATAAAGCGAATTGAAAATGAATCTTGATGTGAATGGAAGGGGAGAGGGAGCGGGAGAGGGAGGGTCACAGGTAGGAGGGAAGTTATGGGGGGGAAGCCATTGTAATCCATAAGCTGTATTTTGGAAATTTATATTCATTAAATAAAAGTTAAAAAAAAAAAAAAAAGAAAATGCTACTTTTGAATTGAAATGACTTCCCAAAACTGGAGCTGGAAGTTAAACCTGTGGGCTTTAAAGTTTGCATGGGCTTCATGACATCAAGTTGCCTTCTCACAAAAACAAGTGGTCTTCCTTTTAATAGGGACATGTTAGGAGATAGCTGGCATGTGAAGCTGGCAAAAAAACATCTTGAGCTAACCCAAGAAGTCAGGGTATTCTATAAATCTGATAAGAATTGTTTACTGTAGACAGATTATTCTTGTCAAAAAAAAACCCAAGATCTTTTATATAATTAATGTCATTATATTAAAGGGTGAAGTGTACTTAGTTTGAATTGAGACTAGCTTCATTTTTCTCAGGTTGTATTTATTGGCGTTGTTTATAAATTTACCTGAATGAATGAATAGCTTTGCTGCCTATTTTAAAGCACATTGCAAATTTAGAAAGTTGATAATTGACATCACAATTTGAGGAACTGTAGTTAAAGAAACTTAATATACTTTTACTATATATTTTTTACAGAATAAACATATATCCTTTTGGGCATTTTTATATTCTTTCTCTTGTAAGGTAACCAATATACTTAAAGTTAAAACTATTTGTGCTGTGGCATAGCAGGCTAAACTTCTGCCTGCAGCACCTTCATCCTATATGGGCACCAGTTCATGTTCTGGCTGCTCCTCTTCTGATCCAGCTCTCTGCTATGGCCCGGGAAAGCAGTGGAGGATGTCCCAAGTGCTTGGGTCCCTGCACCCATGTGGGAGACCTAGTAGAAGCTCCTGGCTCCTGGCTTCAGATCAGCCCAGCTCTGGCTGTTGTGGCCATTTGGGGAGTGAACTAGCAGATGGAAGACCTTTCTCTCTGTCTCTCCCTCTCTCTATCTGTTGCCCTACCTCTCAAATAAATAATATCTTAAAAATAAATTATAAAAATTATTTGGTCAAGTGAACACTAAATGCATATTACATAAAAAGATTTTAGCCAGCATCATGGTGTAACAGGTAAAGCCACTGGCTGCAATGCCAGTATCCCATATGAGCACTGGTTTGAGTCCGAGTTACTCCACTTCTCATGTTCCCAGCCAATGGCCTGGGAAAAACAGTTGAAGATGGCCCAAGTGTTTGGGCCCCTACACCCACATGTGAGACCTGGATGAAGCTCCTGTCTTCAGCCTGGCTGAGTACTGGCCATTGCAGCCATCAGGAAAGAATCAGAGAATGGAAGAAATCTCTCTCTCTCTCTCTCTCTCTCTGTAACTCTTTCAAATAAATAAATAAATAAATGTTTAAAATTTATAATGGAAATAAGATGGATAAGGCATGCAGAAGTAGCACATCAAGAACTCTAGATTACAATAAATCAATTTGGCCCTAAACCAAACATCAGAATCAAGAGCAGTGTTAAGCCTGGGGTTTTTGTCTTACTTCCAAGCCAAAAAAGCTGAATTAATTCTGTTTTATGAGAAGGTAAAAGACACAAGTCTCCTAGGTCAGAGACAAAGGACTTTATAATTCACAGCAAAAGCAGTGGCCAAGTACCAACATGTTGCTCAAGACAATTCCCTATGTCCTGCTTCCACCAAATTCAACAGCACTGACACAAAGAACCAAGGATGGATGCCTGTGCCTGTGGGTTGTATTTAAAGAGTACACTGACCTTGGAAAATTCACACAAGCCTATTGTCTAAGGGAAGGTGTCCCCTAATCCCTCAGGGTTGCTTACTGTAAGCACTATCTGGAGAAATGACTCAGATAAAGTGCAGTCTCACTTTCATTCTTATTATACCCAAAAGAACCCTCAGGGATATGCAAGGCCACAGAAGAATACCTTTCCTAAAAGCAAGTATCTCTCAACACTTTTAAGGACAAGAGAATACTCCCATAATGGATGGGAAATGCTGCCATCAGTCATCACACTTTCTGTGCTAGTGAGTCTCAAGATGAACAAGGGAAATGCAGTATTCTCTCCAAAGGCCTCCAAGTCATGTTGATACGAGAACATCACGGATCTGGACACTGGTCGCTGCAGGAAGTCTGGGAAGGCGAGAAGTGCCATAATCATATTTTTATTTGAGAAAGATCCCTTAAGGCATAATGCAGGCAATTGACTGGAATGAACAAGACAGAAGACAAAACCTAATTAAGGAGACTCTTAAAACAACCCTGAAAAGTGATCACGTGACAATCTTAGTTAATGTGAGCTTGGATATAGAAGACAGGCTCAGAGAAGAGTGCTGGGCTGGAAGCGGGAGTGGGGGACTGGGAAAGGTTGGGTTGGAATTGGCATACTGATGAGGAAAACAGCAGCTAAGAAGGTAGGAAGAGGGTATGCTTGGCCTTTGAAAAGCTGTGTTTGAGAAATGTACTGATTTTAGTGACCTTTATATAAAACACAACTGGACTCAACTCATATATACCAAAATGAATACATAGCATTCTATAAATGATTTTGAATGCAATAATAAAATTTACATCATATTAAATTAAAATGTGCTAGCATTATTCACTTCTTAGTCAGGTCTTTGTCAAACACACATACCACCATCATCACCACCACCGATATTTAGCATACAGCAGTGAATACTGGAGTTCTTGAGACACTTTAAATCATGGCAAAGAAAATTCCTAGTCAAAAATAACACAAAAATAGCAACATTCCTGAGACCAAATAATATCCATTCGTATGTATACATTCCATGAAATTCTTGTTAAGTGGATGTGGTAATGAATAATCCAAACACTTCATTTAAGCAAACAGTTTCAAACTATTCTCATTATAAACCACATTTAGAAAGTGATTAAGAGAGAAAAGAGGGATAATTTTAATTTTGCTCCCTGATTTCTTTATCTCACATTATAACCACCAGTTACTCATAAGTAAAAGGCACGAAGCAGAGAAGGAAAGAAGCCAGCGTCTAGACAATAACTGGCAATAAATGAGAAGTGTAGCATCATTCTTGGTCAGCATCTCAGCTGAGGGGTGCACAAATCACTTCAAAGACAAGGTAGATAGTCATTTCTTGTGTCGGACCTATCCACTCTGCCAGTAATATTAGATCTAGATACAAATATCTGATGCTTTAAAAGCTGGTAAGGAGGCTAAATGGGATTATTTTGGTAAATTCAATTTTTAAAAAAACCTTAGGCTCCAAGAATATATCTAGATAATCCCTGTTTCTTTCATGTACAAACAGAGCCAGGTGTCATGCTCTTACCTGATTGCAGGTGTTGATGTCTATGCCTCCCTTCAGATATTCCACTACTTTGTCCAGGTTGCCTGCTCTGGCAGCACGTAGGAAGCTTGCATTGCTGTCAGACTGTGAGAAAAAGAAAAGAGCTTTAGCAAATTATTGATTAGATAAAGTAAAAACCTACCAAACACAAAAAAACAAGAATGTTTACACTGAAAGTCAGAATAGCTTTAGTTGGAAAACTTTCAACACTGAGATTAGAACATTGAATGCAATAATAAAATCTATTGAATGTAATAATAAAATAAATTTTATTATTGAATGCAATAATAAAATAAATTCACAATCTTCTAAAGAGGGGTTGACGGATAGTAAGTCAAAGGGGAACAAGCTCTGCTACATTAAAGAGCACAAAAGAACCACTCAAATGACAATGATTGCTTCTGCTTTATTTCTAGGGCTCAACCACATTCAAAGATGAATTTATGCTACCTCCAAATAGCACTGTTACACATTCATTTCAGTATCAGGATCCTAGTGACTTTATCCAGAGCCTAGTGTCAAATCAAGAAAGTATCACAAATAGGAAAATCAAAGCTGCTGGCATTCTGCTTTACTTTTGTTACCATTGGTTTTCAAATGAGTCTGAAGGAGAGCACAGGGCATGGGCAGCTTTGGCAGTCATCAGTCCTCACACTTAGGGAGTAACAGAAAACTCCCAGGATACTCTGAGGAAAGAGGATAGCACTAGTTCACAGGTGTGGACTGGGCTGATGCAAATTTTGTGATCTCAGTGATTTTGGAAAAACATGATCAAATTTAAACCAGCTGCCATAATACTAGACTAAAATCTCTTGGTAAAGATGCCCACTCTGGAAAGATGCTGCCTTTTAAGTTTCTCATCTCCCCATGCTGCTCTCAAAATCTGATCATGGGGGGATCAGCTGAGTTCTCCCCATGAACAATCCTGAGGAGGATTGCCCCAGAGATAACACTAGAGTCACACCTCTCCCACCCCAACTTGGTTAAACCTTAGCAAAATAATGACAACCCACTTTTGTTAGATCCCAAGACACTTGGTGATTTTACTTGTGATATAACATCTGGTTAGAGAGAAAATAGTAGCTTAAAGAAAGATATCAAATGCCCATCGGGAAGTGAGATCCAGGTTTGATGACTTTAACTGAAACATGCACCTCACTGGGCTACATACACTGCTCCCCTCCCTGGAGGGATGCACTTGGCAGGGCTCCTTGCACACTCTGTGGTAGCTATTTATTACGACTTGTGGTGATGTAGAAATAGAAATGGAAGCATTTTCTCTGGGAGTTTCAAAATGGAATTACTTGCATACTGCTAAAATGATTTACACATGGGAAAACTGAAAACCCTAGGACAAAATTACCTCATTGGCTTATATGTCTACAAATACCACAATGGCTTATATGCCTATAAGTCAGATAGATAATTCATTACGACTTGAAAGGTGTGACTGAAATCTGTACATCCAGAGTTCATGCTCTGATCCTTTAGAAATGCATCATGGTACAACTAATATTATTGCACTGTGCTTTCCACTCCCCATCTCACAATGACGCCTCACTCTTCGTGCTTCCTAAAAGCTGTGCCCGTGGCATAGGGCCCTAAATATATCTGCAATGCTGCAGTAACTGAATTGTGACTCATTTTAAAATGCCGATTCTATGAAATTATTTTGCTGTTTGCAGAAAATCCTAAATTCCAAGAGGATTTTCCAACGTTAAGTTTCTTGCCACAGTACTTCAACGTAAAACATAATATTATGCATTGTGTAATGTCAATATCACATAGGAATCACTATTTTTTTTACCATAAAACAGCAAAAATACAAGGTTATAGTCAAAATATAAAAATATTACTCCTGTACTTACAAGGTTTTTCCCCAAATAAATCTGTATGCTTTATATATTATCCTAAAAGTTGTTCCTGCAAAGTACTTGAAATTTTTAAATGAAGCAAATAATTATAGGAAACATTTATTCAGAATTTACTGTATGCTAGGAACAGAGCAAAGGGAATCATCTGCATTGTATCATCAATACTCACAAATAATACTATGATTCATTTAATGGGAAAGAGATCTAGAAAGTTTGCAAAGGCACACATTTATTCAGTGGAAGATCAAAGATTTAATTCATGTTTATCAGACTCAGAGCTATGTCTTCTCTGTAATGCTACTCCTAAAGTGTCAAAGCAGACAGCACTACAGATTCCTATGAGCTTTAGGATTATTGCATTTGTGATCACCACAACTGTGCCTTTCATCTTCTTATTTGGTACTTGCTACATAGGATGTCTCAACTGATGGGGGAATTCTTGGCTGTTCTCCATACCCTCACATCTACCATCCAGCTACAATGTACTAGAAACCTGAAGAGCCAATTTGAGATACATAGAAAGCTAGTCATTTGGGAATTATGAAAGAGGTAGTAAAGTACCTGTTGCATAGAAATCAATGGACTCTTTCTACATGTGTGATATGATGACACTCAGCAAAAGACCAGGTAGCCCTATCATCCTTGTAATAAAATGAATGTCATAAAGAGGTAGAGCCTGAGAAAAAGCTGAAACCCAAAGGGATGAGGAGACAGCTAGAGACACCATTGCAGAAGCCTGGAGGGGAAGACAGTGATCTGAAAGGCTGCAGGCATAACCCAGGAAGACAAAAATAAACCCTCTTCAAATTTTCTCTGAGAATTGGGTGTGATACTGAGGATTGCTATTGCTATTACATAATAACAAGAAGTTTTCATAACTGGTTCTCTCTTCCAAATCAGACCTTTAAAAAGTGGACATAAGTCAAAGAGTTACAGTTAATTCCTGGAATTTTAGCAAACAGCATTCCAAGTGTTCTGGAGGGTCTGAACCCAGTGGAAATACAATATCTGAGTCTTCCCACCAGAGACCTCTTCAGTAGTTGAGTCATAGTAGATTGTGATAAAATTAGATTCTTCTAAAACTCCTTTAAGGGATTTAGTTTTCCCAAAGTGAGAAAGTGTATTAAATAGAAGTGTTATTAGAAAATGGCTCAACAATGTGGGTTTCAAGGACAGAATTTAGATGAGGTTTCAGAATTTTCATACAGACTTTGACCTTAATGAGGGTCAATATATATTCTGGCGTTAAAATATGTATGAAGGGACTTTAAAAATTCATGGAAAATGGAACTAGATAATGTTTACTTTGATTTAAAAAGCTTTCAAAAATCCATGCCCATGGAGAATGTTCTTTAAAAAGCTCATGTAAAATGTGTATAATGAAAAAAATTATGCATGTATTTTTAAAATATTTGCATCAAAATAAACTTGTCTTTAATTTAACTTTTCCACAAACTTTGAGAACTCCTCCTGCTTTCTTCTCCTCCTTCCACTTAGACACATGCACATCCTACTCACAATGAGGTCAATCTGTGATTAAAGCTCTTGACACAAGAGCTTTGGCTAAATAGTAGTTAGTCTGGTTATCTTTAATCAATAAAGACATGAGAGCGGATTCAAAGACTCATGGAGAGAGGTAAAGCAATTTTTACCACTCTGTGTTTTCCTCTGGTTGTGGTGAAATTTAAAATCAAGCATAAATAGAATGAAAAACATACTTTCAAAATAGATGGTTTTCTTAGCTAGATTTCTCATATAAAAACACAATAAAAGAGAAAATGAGACAAGAGCAACTCCTTTGGGAGAAAGTCTCAGACAAATGTAAAATTAACCTCTCTCTGCTTTACTGCTTCATGTTCCTCAGGCCCTCAAATCCTAAAATCCACTATACTTAAGCCTAGAAAATCTGACTCTGGACAAGGGAATCAATTGCTGGATCCCACCTATTTTGATCTGCCACAGGTGCATGGGATTAAAGTTTGCCCTCTTTACAACCTTAGTGTGACATCTCAATCTAAGAAAGAAAAATTTCCTCTTGAATTCTTCTTGACACAATAATGTATTTTTGTGTATCTGAATGTTAGAAAAACAGAACTTTCTTAGCACCCAGCAGGGTGAACATGAAAAGCGCAGAGGAATGTGCACTCCAACAGCCACGTCATGTCCTGAAGAAGTGCTCCCCAAAGGCTCAGAAGCATGCTCACAGGGGTCCATGAGTTTGCTGCAGTTTTTGTTTTTAGTTCTGTGCTTACATTTCAATAGGAAATCTCCCTAAAAAGGAAGTATAAGCATAGTCAAGGTCATCTAGATGGCTACCCCATAACTGACTATAACTATGCAAGTTGCAATTTTTGTGTAACTTTTTTGTATGCCTTTGTGCTTATAACTCAGTGAATAACAAGTGAAAGCCTCTTTAACTTATTAATAAGAGTTCATAGAACAAGGTGACAAAAATCTATTCATATTTACACTGAAACAAATTCAGAAACAAATTAAATATAGAATTTTGAGGTTTTATATGTTTACTATTAAACTCAATATTCATGATTTAAGTTCTTTTAAATTTTGTATAAATTATTTTTCAGGGGCCAGCTTGTGGTATGGCAGGTAAGGCTGTTGCCTGCAATGCTGTCATCCCATGGGGTGCCAATTCGAATCCCATCTGGTCCACTTCAATCCAGCTCTCTGCTAATGGTCTGAGAAAAGGCAGCAGAAGATAGCCCAAGTGCTTTGGCTCCTGCTACTTATGTGGGAGACCTGGAAGATGTTCCCAGCTGCTGGCTTTGGTCTAGCCCAACCCCAGGATGTGTAGCCATCTGGGGAGTGAAGTGATGGATGGAAGATCTTTCTCTCTGTCTTTCCCTTTCTTTAATTTGGACTTTCAAATCAATAAATAAATCTTTAAAAAATTAAACAGTAAAAAAAAAAGAACAAATTTTTCTTCAGAGGCAGAGACTTAGGCAGACAGAGCCCCCACCTACTGATTCACTTTGCAAATACATCTTAGCCGTGAGTCTTAAATGCTAAGCCAAACACTTGACCCCACGATTTATTTTTATTTTTTAAGGATTTACTTTTTATTTATTTGAAAGGCATAGTGTTAAAGAGAGAGAAAGAGAGAAAGAAAAAGTCTCACAACAACTGGGACTGGGCTAGGCTGAAGCCAAGAGCCTGCAACTCAACTGGGTCTCCTGCTCCAATGGCAGGGGC